AGGGAAATCCCTAAACTCATAACTCCCATTTAGCAGTTTACACAAAGACTTTATTGATAAATAGACGTGGCATGTAGGCTTGATTCAAGGGATTTCGTGAACGTATGAAAACCGAATGACAAGGTGACCTTGGGGCAGAAACTGTCTTAGGTATGACATCTGTTCCGTCATGCAACCCTGTAGGATATGAAAATAATGCTGGATTTCAAAGAAGCCCTGAGGCAGTTGGTGTGATTTGACCTTTCATTTCAGGGGAAAATGTGGTTGGAAGAAGTTTTCATGAAATGGCCTCACCGTTGAGGGAATGAAGGCTATTGGATTGTGCGATTAAGTTCTCGGCTCTCCATCCTGCGACTCAGATGAACCAGTATCACTATAAAACACATCGTCTGAACGAGAAAACTTAATTTGTGAAAAATTGCACCATTAAACAAAACAAAGAGAAGAGGTGATCGGCTGGGCATCGCATTATTATTTTTTGTTTTATAAGTAAGTTTTCGAGACCACCGGTAGATTTTATACATTTCATATAATCAGCCTAGCTCTTTGAGGTGATGATCTACTGGTAGCCTCGAAAGCAATGCAATCAATTGTTATAGCAAATATAACTTTGCTTCGTTGACAGTCCCACGAAAGAATTGTGATATGGGAAAATCCTGACCTTTCACAAAATTCACATCTGCCCTGCGATACACAGGCACTCGTAGCATTGGAACATGGAGGTTAGTTAACATGACGCTGGGGAAGTTGAAAAGATCGGAGCTACAGTCCACTTTTGTCTGAATAAGAATACATTTTTCATAATCTTAGTTGAAATTGTGAAGACCAAGATGATGTGGCTTTGAATGGGGTCGCGGTCTTCTTTAGCTGGTTGGCGTTGGTTTGACCTCGTTTGCACAACAACAACAAGGGGAATTTGTGGAATGTGCTTCCCAGTCCTGCGTCCTCTGCCCTCGAGTATTTCTGATAATTTGTTGTTTCACACTTTTGACTTGGTACTTTCACAGACATTTTGCCTGCATCGCATTCGCTATCGTCGGTGAGAAGCGCCATCCTTAGCCCCAAAATGTAACTTATTCTGGTCAATTGGATAAGTTGTAACTGTGTGCTAACGACGAGGCCGAGGAAACGTCAGGGAATGTACCAAGTCAGCGGTCCGATGTTGAAAATTGTCACGAATACTCGAGGACATATGAGACAGGATTAGGTGAGGTTCATAAAGTCTGCTTGCCACTCCAAACAGGTTGTGGAAACGAGTTCACACCAATCCCTTAATCTTATTTTCGATATAAGCATCCGATACACGCGGTGATGGAACCTTGCAATTGGCGTTCTGTTGATGCTCTCGGGTTTATGTACCAATTGTTTGCCTTTTAAATGAATATTCAACTCCCCTCACCATTTAGCAGACTTTCCCAGTTGTATGTTGACCTGACATTTACCAACCTTCTTCCTTCTGCTTTCGTGTCAACTTTAGAAGTGGCCGGCACTCGTGGCAAGCCGGGTCTGGCGCATCGAGATCTGAAACCGGGCAACATCTTCGTCCGATCGGATTGGTCCTGTTGCATCGGTGACCTGGGCCTGGCTGTACTGGCGCCGCCGAGTCGGCTACCGGAGCCACGAGATCGCTTGCTGACGTTGTATCAGCGATTGAATTGCCCGATGACTGAGCATACTTCGGAATCGTCAGTTTCTGTCTGCTTCTCTTCCCCACCTCCACTCTGTTCCCATGGCAACTCTTCTTCCCCGTCTCATAGGCTCAAATCTAAGGCTGATGTCATCATTTCATGCCCCGGAGGGGGACCAGAACCTTCCCTTTCGGATGAACTCGACCGAATCACCACTTCGGACCATGTAATTGAGAATACCTTATTTATTATGTGAAAACAGACGATGAACCTAGCTCGCTTATGCTGACTTAAGGACTGATAGTTGAATCTACTCATAATCAGATGAGTAGAACTCATAGTGTCATTGAATTTCTCTAAGATTTGCCTTCCGAAAAATTACTCATCTCATTGTGAATAAACTCAATAATTAGTGCTTAAATCTTCATAAACCACTTAGGGCGAACAAGCTTTTATTTAAGAATTAGGGCTAATATCGAAAATTAATTATCCGAATTAGTGCATTTCGATGTTACAAACAAATCTTAAAAATAAACTCTATTCAAGATCTACCAGGAATGTGCAAAATATTGATATTCATATATAAATGTATTTTTTTTATATATCATATTTTTAATTTTTTGTTATTATATAAGATATTAATAGGTACCTAAACTTATATGCATATATGTATATATATATACTTTTATTTATTTATTTATTTACCAGATATTAATAATATATCTTATCAAATTTTAAAAAATATTACAAAAACATAATAAAAATATATTTATTTAATTTTAATTTTATATTTTATTAGATCTATTATTAATTTTAAGAAATGTATATATATATATATATATAACTTTAAGTTAATTAACTAGTAAACCGATGCGATTTAAGCTAATTCCAGCCTACCTTGAAAGTCATATTTATTCTCTAACCCACAGGCGACCCTAGCTATCGGACGTAATGATAACTTGTCACCATTTTACGCGCAAGACCGATCTAAGAATCACGTTGGTGATGCCGATTTTGCTAAGCCAAGGTCGAAACTACCTTTTAAAAATCAAGACCTAAGGAAATTAATTTTATTCATATAAAGTAGGTTTTCAAGATACTAAATCTTCAATGAGAATTTTAACCTCTCCTGGTCACATGAGCGATGGAAGGCTAAAAGTTGAATTTTCCCATGACAATATGAGTAAGCCTTATGTTTCCAATAAATAAAACATGACCTTGCATCTTAAAAGCTATTTTCATCCCGAATGGAACGAGCGCTCGT